GGTAAGAGCGTTGGATTTCTACCTTACGAGGTCGCGGGTTCAAAACTCGAACGGGGCACCAATTTCTGGCTGCCTGACGAAGACTAATAAGCGAGCGATGGCCATCCTATTCTCCCTTGTCTCTTTCGGTATGGTCCTTCTGCCTATATAGTTTGCCACATTGCAACGTAGGCTCGAGTGTGCGCTACAAAGGAAGCATGGACGGAGGAGTGTGTCCTATAACTGATCGGTGTACGCCTATTTTTCGCACAGAGGAAGCACCTGCAAAGAAACTAGGAAACCAGGATGGTAGTTTGTCGCTTACAAGCCATCATCAGCAAGCCATACGCAACTTCACATATACATGAACTGGGATTCGAAACCAGATCTTTGGTCATTGTGTGTTTTAAAGTCCACTGCCCTAATATTGAGCCACCGACCCGCTATCTTCCGATTGCGATTAGGAATACTAATTCCGTTCCCGATAGCTACTTGCCCCTATCCTCTTTTGTGGTCTTCAAATACTGCCTGTATATCTTATTTACGCGTTGTCTCCTCTTCAGCTTACCACCAAGACATTTACCACCATCCCCGTCTTTCTACTTTTTTAAAGGCGCTACTCTTGCGTGCACGCTATTGCGAGGAAACGAGTCGCTTTGATTTTGACACCACTCGCCGGCTCTACTTAGACATCTGTGAAACCTATTCTGGTTGCGAGGAGGCCCATTTCCGCCTGGCACACTATGTGGACGAAGCACGCAGTCAGGTTCTAGACAACAAACAAAATGAGTTAGTCCTCCCATAGGCTTTTTCTCCTTGTCTTTACCTTACGCCCTACGTGTGAACTGTGAACTTTCTGCAGTCCATTCGGCTCAATCCACGTTCAGACACAAATTAGCCATTTTCTTCAAGTCAATTGTAGAAATCTTTTCTTTAAAACAGTGAGTTAAGGATCCCTGTTCCGATTTGCTGTTTTTTACGTGTTAAGAGTAGCCTGCTTGAATTAAGTAGAATAAGCCATTTCGGTGATGTTTGATGTCATAAGTCCATGTCTATCCTTACTCTTATTTGCGAAAGAACAAGAACCGAACTCTCGGCTGCTCCCCTAATATGTTCCTCCTCTTCTTCTTCTTTTCCCTCCCTCCCCACCCGTCAAGTCTCCTCCTGAAGGTCGCTTTGGAGCACTATGGGGAGGCGCTGGCCTGCGGAAATCAGTTCATCTACCAGTCGATGCCGCGTTTTCTCACCCTGTGGCTCGACTACGGTGCGGAATTTGCGCAGAAACAGGAAACTACTGCCACCACCATCACAGGCAATACTTTTCGCGCTGGTGCATCCGAGACTGGTGCAAACGAGGACACATCAGCCGCCACGTTTGATGAAGTGCAAGCGGTAGGGGACTGACTGCCTGACTGACGAATGTGACCTTCTCTCTCTCTCTCAGTATGCTTTTTGACCTCTAAGTAATTGCTTTTTGTGTGTGTGGTGCTCTTGCCTTTTAGCTTATGCGAGCCAGCCTTCAGAAGATACCACCGTACCAATTCTATACGGCGCTGGGGCAAATCCTCTCTCGAGTTTGCCACGAACATCCCTCTATTGTGAACATGCTGGTGGACCTCATTGTGCGCGTGTTCGTGGCTTTTCCCCAGCAGACCATCTG